CAGGGCAAGCTGTTGGACGGCGACACGGGCGGCAGCGATCGCAGTCGACCTGGCAGCAGCGGCGCGGCGGCCGACGTAGTCGACGTTGCCTACGACCATGGCAAGAAGCTCGCCCTGAGGTGGAATCGGTGCTCGCGTACGCCCGAGCCCACAGACCAGATCTTCACGAAGCCGAATTGCACGTTCGCCTTCGCGCGCTGGGACGACGGCTACGAGCACGAGCTGGACACCTTGACAGCGGCCGCGTGGAGCGGCCAGACGGCGGCGGCCGCGGGCGGCAGAGATCGCGAGCGTGGCCCGCTGTTCTCGGGCAAGTTCGGCACCGTGCGGGTCACGGTGGTCAAGAAGCAGCTCGACGAGCACAATCCAGGAATGGTGATCAAGTTCGACGGGTCGCAGAAGCTGCAGATGGCGTACAAGGTGCTGCCCGAGGACAGGTGCATCGCGTGGATGACCCAGGTCGCGCAGGACATCTGCAGCGGGGTGCTCACGCTGGACGAGGCGAAGACGAAGAAGAAGCAGTTGGACAACGACTTCAACAGGATGAACATGCTGAAGAGACCAGCAGCGGCCCTGAAAAGGCCTGGCGCTGCAGCCGAGCCCGCGGCAAAGAGACCAGCTGCAGCCGTCGGCGGAGATGGCCGAGGCGACGACGAGGGCGCAGAGGAAGCCGAGGAGGAGGAGGAAGAAGAACCTGATGATGAAGGCGGCGCGGAGGAGGGAGAGGAAGAGGAGGAGCGCGAAGAGGACGAGGAAGTGGACCACATGGACGAGCCCGACGGCGCCTGCAGGAGAAGGCTGGCTGCGGCGAAGAAGCCGACCGCGGCAGAGGAGGAGGGCGAAGCAGAGGAGGAGGAGGAAGAACAGGACGAGGAGGAAGAGGAGGAAGAAGAGGAGCCAGCGATGAAGAGGCTCGGGGTGGTCAAAAATCATCATACACAACACCCTGAACGCACGAGTTCCCCCCACCCACCCCACCCCCACGGGGCCTTGGAAGGCCCGAGAGAGAACCAAAACGGTATCCTCCTCCTCTTCCTCCTTCCCCTCCTCCTCCTCCTCCTCCTCCTCCTCCTCATCCTCCTCATCCTCCTCCTCCTCCTGGTCCTCCTCTTCCTCCCCCCGTCCTCCTCCTTCTCCTCATCCTCCTCCTCCTCCTCCTCCTCCTCCTCCTCCTCCTATTCCCCCTCCTTATCCCCCTCCTCATCCTCCTCCTCTTATCCCGCCTCCTCACCCCCTTCCCCCCAGCAACCTCATCGACCCCGATCGGCTCTCCTCGCCTCGCCCAGCCCCCAAGGCCGCGCGGCGGGAGCACGATCGTCGCCAAGAAGCCCGCCGCCAAGGACGACCCCGAGGAGTCCGACTACCCGCAGATGGAGGGCCCTGGAGGTAGCCTAGGAATGCTCTCGTGACCTTGGGCCTCGCGCTCGGTGAAGGATGTGAGAAAATGCAAGCAATTGAAACAAAAAAAAAAAACAAAACATCGAGGGGCGTCGATGCCCAGTCTAGATCCTGACCACCCTGCCGAGCTGCGTCCAGCAGGAGGGCCCCCGAAGGCCCAAATGAGACATCTGTGGAAATCTCGGCTTGGACCCCGCGGCATTCCGAATTTAGAAATTCCCCTCGCGGCCCGTCGAGGCCCTTGCCGAGTTCGAAGGTGCATTTGACTATGCATGTTAATAAAAATGCCAGGCATCGGGAGGGTGACGAGGATTGGGGCCCAAGTGCCCAGCGCGTTCTGGATTCAAATACGATGCCAATCCAGCCGTGGCGGTGAGGGGGGCGCCAGAAGCGAACCAAGTCAGTGATGATGTTTTGCCCCTGACCCCCTCGACCCGCAATTCATTCCGCTGGCCCCCCCGATCAGGGCACGTTGACTCGATCCGTAGCCCGTGTCAGGGCCCCCAGGCATTTGAGCGTTGAACTGTTCCCAGATCCGCTCCCCGCCTTGACGGCGGGCACGGCGCCTGCAATGGCTTCTCAAGTCGAGCCCTCCGCTGGTTCGGGTTCCCTGGGAATCAAAGAGGCCCGATGTCCGCCCGCCGTCCGAGTGGCGACTAGGCTGGTGCCGCCGAAGAGAGCGTTGACCTCAGCGGTGGTCAGTCGAGACCGCTGAGGACCGCTGATGACCGCTGATGACCGCTGATGACCGCTGATATCGCACCTCCTCACCCTCCCCCTCAGAAACTCCCCCTTTTTTTTCCCTCTGACAAAGCGATTGCTCAGGCTTCGCGATGGGCCCGAGGCCCCGAGAGGGCCCCGCGTTGGGGGTGGCCTCGAGGCGGGCTGTCCGGTAACCTCTGCCAGCCCGCAGGTGCGAGCGCCGCCGAGTTGGCGGAGAGGCGCGCCGAGCTCCAGGGATTCACGGCAGCGCCAGCAGACTTGCAGGCGAGGTTCGCCCCGACGATCGAGGTCGACAAGTCCAGTGGCGAGGAGGTCGATGCCGACACCTTTCGTGAGGGGACCGTGGAGGAAGGTACACTATGGGATGGAGTGCCTGACACCGAGACTGGCAACGTGACCTTAGTGGAAAAGCACCAGCTCCTGGAGGTTGCGTGCAAGAGGAAGTACGACGAGCTCGCCGCTCTGGAGGAGGATGCGAAGAGCATCATCAAGATGAAGCAGGACATCCAGCAGGAGAAGGAGAAGCTGGAGCAGGAAAAGCAAGAGGCCATGAGCGAGCTGCAGATGATCCTGGAGAAGAAGAGAGCAGAGATCGAGGACGCAGATTTGCCAGATGATCGCAAGGCGAGGCTTCGGGAAAGGGTGAAAGCCAAAGAGAAGATCTTCGATGAGACGCAGCAGCTGATTAAGGTCAGGGACGACATCAAGGCCGAAGTGGAGCAGGCCAAGAACTCGTTGAACAACTTGACAGAGGAGTTTACGAAGCAGTTCGATGCCGAGCAGGAGAGGAAGAGCATGGCCCTTCAGGAGCAAGCCGAGCTAGAAGCGAAGATTGAAGATTGGAAGGAGGAGTGTCGGCTCATCGGCGAATGGGTTATATCGAAGAAGAAGGCCGCGGAGGACGCTTTCGACGCATACGCGGTGGAGATTGAGGGGCAGAAGGCGAAGATCAAGAGCGATCTGGACAAGCAGAAGTCCGAGGCGGTGAAGGTGAAGGCCGACCTCGACATGGAGATGACGCAGGCGAAGGAAGGCTGGGCGAAGGAGAAGAAGTACCTCGATGAGCAGCTCAAGCAGCAGCGTGTTGCTTTGGCGGAGAGCGAACGCCAGACTGGCGTCGCGGACGCCCTCAGGGAGGAGGCCGAGGGGAAGCGCAAGGCGGCGGAGAAGTGGGCAGAGGAGGCGGAGCAGTTCGGGCGCGCGAGGCCACCGAGGAGGAGCACCATCGAACTTGCATTCGACGGAGGCCGAGGCGAGACGCAGCTGGCACTGGCGCACAGCCCGACGGAGAGCGCGAGCCTGGTCGACAGCCACCCTGGTTTCGCGCAGCCGAGTGGCGCGCCCGACGCCTTGGCCGAGGCGCGCGCCAAGCTGTCCGCGGCGGGCGCGAGGCTGAGCGCGGTGACGGGCTCCGAGGGCGAGTTTCCTCGCGCGGGGGCGATGGCGGCAGGGGCTGGTGCGCCTTCGACGCCGTTCACGCCCGCTGGCGGCCAGCCGAAGGATGCCGTGGAATCCACCCCCGACAAGTTCTCCAAGGCGATTCAGGGCTTGCAGAAGATGGTCGACATGTCGGACAAGTCGAGGCTGCTGGGCCCTCCCTCAGGACTGGCCGATGACGCGGCGGCGAAGGACTGGAGGCGGACAGGTGCGCGCCACAAAGTAGGTGACGATGCCCTGAAGGCGTACATGGACAGCGGCTACACTGAGCACTTCGACATGAGGTCCGCGCTTGGCAACCGCCTCCAGCGTGAACTGCAGGCCCCCCAGACTGAGCAGCAGAAGGAGTTCAAGAAGAGGTGGGACCTCGCGTCCCAGAAGGATTCGCTGAAGAAGGAATGGGCGGAGAAGCAGATCAAGGGTCTCATCCAGGAGTCCAAGACGATGATCAAGGAGACCGAGGACGAGCTCCTCAGCAGGGGGAAGCCCGTCACGTTCTTGAGGATGCTGTACGAGGAGGGGGGGCCAGCGGGCCAGAGCGATCCCGAGACGATCGCGGGGTGCGCGCAGGCATGCTCTCAGTGCCTGGATTTGGGCTGGCCGTATGCGCGCCTGGACGAGCGCACGGGCATCATGAAATACATGCACTTCCAGCAGGAGTACAAAGAGGCCTTCAGGGAGAAGTGGGCCTTGACGAAGCAGCAGACGACGAGTCCTTCAGCTCCTGCTGCTGCAGCCTCTGCGCCGCCCACGCCTGATGCTCGCGCACGGCCAGTGCCGAAGCCGAGGAGTGAGAGCCAGGAGGCGCTGCAGAACGCAGCCAAGCTGGTCAAAGACATCAAGGAGAAGCAGACGAACGCGAAGGCGATCCTCAAGTCCATCGACGAGGACGATGACTGGAAATGGGCGAGGACGGAGCAGACCAGAGGCGGCCTGTCGAAGTTGCTCGAGAAGCTCGACGCAGCGCTGCACGGCATGAAGCTAGCGGACCTGCTGATGCGCGGCACGGGGATCCCTGAGGTGTTACCTCCTCCTCCTCCTCCTCCTCCTCCTCCTCCTCCTCCTCCTCCTCCCCCCGACGAGGAGGGCGCCTGGGGCTGGGGCAATGGCCCCTCGGGACCTCGCCCTCAGGGTCCCTCCTCCTCCTCCTCCTCCTCCTCCTCGTCGAGCCTCTCCCTTCTCCTCCTTCTCCTCCTTCTCCTTCTCCCCCCCCATCTCCCCCCTCCCCCCCCCCTCCCGATCAGGGGGAGGGGAGGGGGGGAGGGGGGGAGCCGTCTACGGTTGAAGCTGAGAGAGGCGGAGGAGGTGGTGGAGGAGGAGGAGGAGGAGGAGGAGGAGGAGGAGGAGGAGGAGGAGGAGGAGAGGGGGGAGGGGGAGGAGGAGGGCGAGGAAGAGGCAGGCGAAGACGACGACGACGGCGACGACCCAGCCCCCATCGCCAGGTGGCCAAGTCTCTCGACCCGTCCGAGATCATCACGCAGGCCGCGGCCCTGCAGAAGACGAAGGACGCCTGGGGCTGGGATAATGGCCCCTCGGGGCCTCCCTCTCAGGATCCTCCCTCCTCCTTCTCCTCCTCCTCCGCCTCCTCCTCCTCCTCCTTCTCCTCCTCCTCCCCCCTCCTCCTCCTCCTCCTCCTCCTCCTCGCCCTCATCCTCCTCGTGATCCCGACGAGGAGGAGGAGGGGCAGTCTACGGTTAAAGCTGAGGGAGGCGGAGGACGCGGGGGAGGATGAGGAGGATCGAGGAGGAGAACGCAGGACATCAAGGAGAAGCTGGAGGAGAAGTCCAGGAGCATCAACAGGGGGCACGAGGAGCTGGGCGGCGGCAAGAGGAAGCTCGAGCAGGCTCCGTCTCGTGCGGGGAAGCGCTCGAGGGGCTAGCCTGGCCCTCGTGAGCCTGGGGTGGCGGTGCCATGCAGGGGCGCGCGCATGGCGCCGCGTTCAGCCCGCTGCGAGCAGCGGCGCTCGACTCACAACACCTGCTTTCGCAGGCATCAGACAACGTTCTGAAAAAAGCACAGGATCGACGCCCCTGGAACCCGCCCCCCCGGTGTACCGGCGATGACCGCTGAGTACCGGTGAGTTCAGCGATCAAAACCATATATATATATATATACAGAAAAGGTAACTCATCGGTCCGCCGACGACCGCTGAAGACCGCTGAGGTCAACTGATCCTGTTAGCGTTGCTAATATTTGGGGATTCTCTGAGCTGTAATATTGGTGCTCCTCCCCCTCCTCTTCCTCACCTCCATCTCTCTCCTCCCCGCCCTCCCTCTTGTAGCCAATTGGCCCCGCGATTGCCCCGACATAGCCCAAGCTTGCCTGAAATGGCCCCGATATGGCTCCTCGGAGCCCTCTCGGGCCATCCCCAGTGCCCTCGGAGGGCCCCATGGGGCTCCCAAGACTGCTCCAAGCTGCCACCTAGAGAGTCACAAAAGGCACCCGAGAGCTCCCCCGCAGCGTATATAACTCGAGGCTCTTGTTATGCACCTTTTGGAGCAGTGCCATCTTGAGACACTCGTGGGCCCTCCCCAGTGCCCTCGGGGGGCTCCAGGAGGGCCCCGAGACAGCTCCAAGCTGCCCCCGAGCGGGTCCCAAGAGGCCACCGAGAGCCCCGTGGCGTATATAACTCGAGGCTCTTGTTATGCACCCACTGGGGTGGCCTCTCGGAGCCCTCTCGGTCCTTCCTGCACCCTCGCCAGGGCCGTTGGAGGGCCACGATCGGGCCCCAAGAGGGTCCCAAGATGCCACCGCGAAGCCCACCGTGGCGTATATAATTCGAAGCGGTTGTTATCCGCCCCGAACCCTCTCGGAGCCCCCCAGCGGCTCTCCTGGAGATGGATGGCCCAAGATGGCCCCAGGGCGGTCCGAGAGGGCCGCGCCGCGCGCGCAACCCACGCGCAACCCATCCACGCCCCATCGGCCCCGCGGGGAGTGATCTGGCATATCGATTCCGATTCCTTTCCTTATCCCCATTCCCCACTCGCTCCCCCCCCCTCCCTCTGCCCCCCTCCCACCCCCCCAAAGCCCTCGACCCGGGCCTTCTCGATGGGCCCGAGCGGCTCTCGTCCTGCGGGCGGCGTCGTCGGGAGGAGAGGCGGTGCGGGGGTGAGGGGTATATGAGGGGATGGGGGGCGGGGGGATGGGAGATTCCGACCATAGCTACAGCAGATCGGGCTCGAAAGTTCAACATGCCCCCACGCAAGAGAACACGTGCGTTCCCTGAGACAGAGGATGAGCGCGCCCAACGGCGGGCCGAGGCGGGGGAACGCTTGGAACGGGAGGTGTTGTCTTTATACAGCACTGGCCAGATGACTGCAAAATCTCTCTGCGAGATAGCTCACCTTGCGTCGGCTGCAGGCGCGGAGGGGAGAGTCGGCGATTGGGGAGTCAGACCAGATCGAGCCTCCTCTGGACAGTACCAGCGACATGTGCAAGATGTAGCGGACGCTCGCGGCATCCAGAAAGTTCCCATGATGATGTACGATGTGCCTGGACAGACGCGGTCGGCTAAGACATGCCAGCCTCGAACTTATCCCCACCCCTAATATTTACGCGCCATAAGGCGATGACAATCTTAGGGGTTCGCCCTCAAATAATAATGGAACCCTTGAGATTGGCATCGTAACAAGGAGGTGCCCAGCATAGGGATAGGGATATGTTCCAGGCTGGCAACAGACACGAGTCACTATGAAACTCCCGACCCGCCCTTTTCACGAGCTGCTGCACGCAGAGGTCCACAGGAACCCGTCGTCGCTGGACGTCATGCGAGATGAGCTGGAGCGTCGAGAGTGGCCGCCTGCATACACGGAGAACCCCATATGTGCATCTGCCAGGGATGACGAGCTCGTGATACCGCTGGGATTATTCGTTGACGCTGCAAGATACGGCGGCACCTCAGCCGCGGGCAGAACCCGATCGTTCGTTGTGTTCTCACTCATCAATATGGTGACGGGAAGTAGACATATGGGGATGATTTTCAGAAAACAATGTCAGTGCAGATGTGGGTGTCGTGGTTTCTGTTCGTTTTACAGGCTGTTTAAGTACGTGGCGTGGAGCGTAGTCGCCCTGCGTGACGGAGCGTTTCCGATTAAGGGACCTGGGGGGGAGGAGCTCGACGGGCATCGCCAAACTCGTGCTGGGGGGCCACTTGGATTCAAGGGTACCATCTGTTGGCTCCTCGCCGACTGGGAGGCGATCGCTGCTTACCTGTGCACGCCTACTTGGTCGACCAAGTTGCACCCCTGTCCAGTGTGTTCGGCGACGTCTGATACCATGTATCTCTTCAGGCGTCGGGGCAGAGAGATCGGGGGATGACGGCGCCCCCCAGAGGCGACCCCCAACGGTGACCCCCCAACTGCGACCCCCATGCAACGACGACGACGACGACGATGACGACGACGACGACGACAACGACGACGACAAGGACGACGACGGCGACGACGACGATGACGCCGACCCCCGACGACAACGACGACCGCCGCAGCCGCCGCCGCCACGCCGTCGACGGGCCGACGGTGACGACGAGGGCCAGGAGGAGGAGGAGGCGTCGGGAATCCTCGGCGACGTAGCATCGAGGTCGTCGAAGACGATGGTCTGCAGGAAGTTGTCGCTGGTCGTGTCCTGGGGGGAGCGCCCCGCTGGGCGGGAGGGGTGAATCGATGGCGGGAGGGGGTGGGAGGAGCACTGGGGCTGCCCGCTCCGAACGCCCGTTCTGGCGTCGCCGCTGCGCCCTCGTGGGGCTGCACGCGGGAGGCCCTGGGGGGCTTCCGTGGGCCTCCCCAGCGGGGCCGCGGAACGATTCGAGTGAGGGGCGCGCCGAACGCAGGGGGTGGAGCGGGCTTCGGCAAGCCCCCCCAACGGGGCCACGAAACGAGTGAGGGGCGCGCCGACAAGAAAGTCAGCTCACCCAGGCATTTGCGCTCCATGGAGCTGCCGTGGTTGGACCACCCCTCGGACGCCCACGAGAATGCGACGAAGGCCTGCGAGGCGTGGGTTCGAGTTCGGAACGACAGGGAGCGGGACCTACTGTTCGAGAGGGCGGGGCTCTATTTCAACAAAAACCTGAAAGGCAGAAAACACTTGGCTGGAAAAGGGCTGACGGTCTTCAGGGACGTGGCCGCGCTCAACCACATGAGCGAACCGTTGTTGAAACACGATCGGCTCCCCCCGCAAGATGCGCTACAGGACGTTCACACATATCCCACGTTGAACACTCCAGCGTGGCTTGTTTTCTGGAGGCCTAGTGCAGAAACTCCCACTACGAGCCGAAACCCACTAGTGCATGATCCTGCCACAGGCGCGTCCCTAGCGAATGCGTATGCGTGTGATTTTTTGCACACCATTGCGCTCGGAGTGATGCAGGGGATTGTGTTGTGTGCGATTTGGCGCCTGATAGATTCTGACATCTTCGTGCAGGGGAACGTTGACCAGTCGACGAGGGGGCAGGTCGTCTTGGGCAAGCTAGAGGTCCTGCTAAATAGTTTTTACGAGCGAGAGAGGAACAACGGGCGCAAACTCTCTGAGATCGACGGCCTTCGGGTCGCAATGATTGGCGATAGGCACAGACCGTTGCTGAAGACGAAAGGGGCAGAGAGCATGGGCCTATTCTATTGGGTCGTCGGGGACTTGTTGCCGCGCTACGGCGACAGCATTGAGCGGGGGCGTGCCCTTCGCGATTGCGCCAACCAGCTTCGGGATTGGGATGCGCACCTAAGGATTCAGCCCGACGTTCCCCCGCCAGAAGCGTGCGATAGATTGGAAGCTCTATGTATCCGTCATCTGGTGTTGCTTGGCGATGCCGCCGTGCACGAGAAACCGAAGCACCACCTGATGTGGCACCTCACCAAGAGGACTGACTGACGGATGAGGATGACGGCAAGGAGGAGGAGAAGGGGGAGGAGGAAGACGAATAGGAGGGGAAGAGGAACAGACGAGGAGGAGGGGTAGGGGCTGGAGGGGGAGGGAGAGGAGGAGGCACAGGAAGTGGGCGACAGGAGGGGCGTGGACAGGAGGAGGAGGAATGTGGAGGAGGAGGGCGAGATGAGGAGGATGAGAGCCGCCAGCGGGCTGCAAGCTCGCGGGGGGCCTGGTCGAGCGCGGCCGGATCCTGGTGCGAGTTGGGGCCAGAATTCCGAGGCGCATCCAGCCGCGGAAATCGGGGGCTCCCCAGCAGGCCCCCAAACATCTGAACATGTTTTTACCCCTGAATTTCGAGGTTCGTCCTGCAGGCCTGACTGGGCGCTCTCGACCACTCCCTCCAAATTAAGGAGATTACTCCTCCTCCTCCTCCTCATCCTTCTTCCCCATGCCCCTCCCGCTCCCCCTTCCCCCCTCGCCCATCATGCACTGGGGGAGATGGGTGGGGGCCAGGATCAGATGGTTCGGGCATCCACGGCTTTACGCTACCTGGCGCGACGAAACTCTGAACGCAATGATTGGCCGCCTTGCCGAGGCATCCCACAGCCTTCAATTCGAGAGAGGTGTTTTTCTTCGCTCTGACATCCAGTCTCACCTGCAGTTGTGACCCGAAGGGAGGGGGGGCAGCACCCCTGCATGGGCACTGTACGTACTCGCGCGGGCACGCGAGAGCTTCTTTTTGCGGAGGAGGAGGGGGTGAGGAAGGAGGCAGAGGAGGGGGGGGGAAGGAAGGGCAGGGAGGGATAAGGGACATGGACGGGGATAGCCGGATCCCGAGGGCCGAGGCAGTCCTGGCTGGTCTCGAGCTCGGTCACCTCCCCGCCCCGCGCGACGGGGCGAGGGCTCCAAGTCGGCGGAGTGGCGACAGCCTCGTATTTTTGCATACATCAGCGGTCATCAGCGGTCACAGCTGATGTCCGATGACTGGCGGTCATCAGCGGTCATCAGCGGTCAAGTCGAGTGCAGGCGGACTGGCGCGAGCCTTAATGGGCACAGCGGATGAATGGCCAGAGCCAGGTGAATATCATCCCCGCGCTTCCCTTTTGCTACCTTCTGCTCCTCCTCTCCCTCCCCACCCCTCCTCAGGCTGTCCGCCCTCCGCAGCGCCGACGCCGACGACCGCGTGAGGGGTGGGCCGAAGTGGGCGGAGCTCGTTGGCCTCGGCCCGCTGGGGCCCGCACAGGGTGTCTGGGGGCGCCCCGCGGCCCCGGCTGGGCCAGCGGGGTTTTCTGGGCTGGGCTCCCATCGGGCTTTTGAAGTGCCTCAGGAGGCTTCGAAGGACCTCGGGCCTCTGGGCCCCGCTGGCTGAGGGCCCCCATTGGGAGCTTGAGGGACCCCAGTGGGCTCCAAGGGACCTCGGGCCTCTGGGCCCCGCTGGCTGAGGGCCCCCATGGGGAGCTTGAGGGACCCCAGCGGGCTCCAAGGGACCTCGGGCCTCTGGGCCCCGCTGGCTGAGGGCCCCCATTGGGAGCTTGAGGGACCCCAGTGGGCTCCAAGGGACCTCGGGCCTCTGTGCCCCGCTGGCTGAGGGCCCCCATTGGGAGCTTGAGGGACCCCAGTGGGCTCCAAGGGACCTCGGGGCTTCTGGGCATCCCTACTTCTCCTCCTCGGGCACGGGGGTCACGGCACAAGTGCACAATTGGCGACCATGGGGGTCGTGGTAAGGGCCCTTCTTCCCCCCTCAAGGGATGGGAAGGGCCCTTACCTCGCTGCATTTCGTGCAGCGCCCCATGGCCCGTGACCAGCAGTGCACCTCTGTGGCCAGTAGGGCCCACCCCCCCCACTCCGTTCCCTCTGTCCACCTTCGTTGGAGCGAGGGTGGACAGAGGGGGGCGCCCTTCCGCGCCCTCCGTTCGGGGGGGGAGAAGGGGCCCAGGAGGCGGTCCCTCCCTTTACGGGCACTGCGCCTGAGGGGGCCGCGCGGGGGGGGGCCCTCGCCTCCTGTTTTCTTTCCTGCAAGCACAACGCGCGTTCTGACGAGCAGAATTTCGAAGGCGAATCCAGCCATGGCGACGACGGGGGACCTGGAGGCCAAAAATCGCCCACTCCCTCCTACTCCTCCAATCCTCCTCGGCCCCAGTGTGTGGTTCCCGCGGTGGGGCCCTGGGCCTCGGGCGTCTGGGCTCTTGGGGTCAGTGGTTCTGCGGGGTCTCTTGGGGTCGGTGGTTCTCGGGGCCCGTGGGTTCGGGATGGTGTGTATGTATATATATATGTGTGTTTGATACATATATACATACATACGTCCCGACGCACGTACATACGTACATACATACATACAAACATACATAAATACATACATACATACATACATACAAACACGCACACATACAATCATACATACATACATACATACATACATACATACATACATACATACATGCATGCATATATACATACATACACACATCAATACATACACATCTACATCCATACATACATACATGCATGCATGCGTGCATACATACATACATACATACATACACATACATACACATACATACACATACATACACATACATACATACATACATACACACAAGTGGCACGCGTGTCCAGGCTCATACTAAACACTGAAGGGGCGTTTGAAACATGAGGAAATGCAACCTCGAAGCCGCGCCCGGGCGCAAGCGGGGTTGCCACACCTTGCGATGCGCGTGCCAGGTTCCCCCCCCCCCCCCCCAGGAAGCATCAGGAGGCCTGCCTGGATAAACCAGATGGGGCTCCAGGATGTCCCAGGATTGTGAGTGTCGTGGGTGTGTGCGTGTGTGATGAGTGCTCTGTGTTGCGCGTGCTTTTTGTGTGATGTAGTTGGTGGTGTTGTTGGTGTTGGTGTTGGTGATGTTGCTGTTGGTGTTGTGGTTGTTGTTGTTGTTGCTTGCTGTTGTTGTTGTTATTGGTGTTGTTGTTGGTTTTGCTGTTGTTGTTGTTAAGTGTTGTTAGTGTGGTGTGTGTGTGGGTGTGTGCGTGCGTGTGCGCGTGTGTTATGTTTGTCTAGCGTGCGATGTGTTGGGCGCGAGGTGCGTCTCTGTGTGCGCATGTAGCCGAGGCCCCAGGAGGTCCCGCGCGGCCTCGGGAGGCACCAGGAGAGCCCAGGAGGCTTCAGGAGGCAGCAGGAGGCATCAGGAGGCACCAGGAGACCCAAGGTTTCAGGATACCCCCAGGAGGCTCCGAGACGGGGTCTGGGGTACCAGAAGGTTCAGAAAACCCCTGGAGGCACCAGGAGGCCCCCAGGAGGCTCCGAGGCGGGGTCTGGGGTACCAGAGGGCACGTCGGGGTTCGATGCTGGGAAGAGGTTTCAGGCGAAACCGCCATTCTCAGAGAGTCGGGGTCGCAATTATTGACATTACCATGTGTTTTTTGAAGGTGTTTTCGACCCTGGCGCCACGATCTGCGTGAGGGGTGCTACCGATTTTCAGAATATAGAGGATGTCCCTAGCGAAACGGCAGGAAAAATCGCGGACGCGGCGCCCCGCGCATAATCGCCCCTGAGCTCCATTCCATCGCAGAGGTGCGTGTATGTATGTGCTTATATATATTTATATATATATATATATATATATATATCGATACATACACATGCACAGATATATATATATATATATATACACACACACGTATACTTCACATGCCGAGGGGGGCCAATCGGCTCGCGGAAAATATTCGCTTGCCGCCGCCGCCAGGCCCGCCTCATTCGCAGATGCCTCTCGGCAAGCGCCGCCCCGGGCCCCCGCGAGAGAG